GCGGCGAAATTGCGAATAAATGGCGAAATTCGGAGGTCGTATAACAATAACAAATAAATGTCTTTATTTTTAAATGATTCCTCGCAAAAGTTGTCCAGTTCCCTTTGTTTACAAAACGATAACATGGCACAAATGTCAATTGGTTTCAACCAGGGCGCTTATATATAAATGCGTGGTTTCAACAGAAGTTCAAGCTGTTCAACTTTGAATTGTTAAAGATGTTCGCGATGCCCCAAAATAATTCTTGTGGCGGCGCTAAATTAAATCAGGTAAGTTAATTATTTAATAATAACAAGAGTTATGTCATACTATAGTCCTGAAACAACACAACACAACAACAATAGTGCGAGGCCAACGCTTTTACGGCTGGGCTCATCACTTTTTTTGTTTTTAATAATATGAATAGATTACGATTGTGTTTATTGTAGCTAATTTGTACACAGCTAACTGTACCTGCTTGTAAATAAATAAATTGTATGATGGTTTTCATCAATCCTACCTCCATCACACACTAATTATAGTAGGTACAAATGTTTGCCATTTCAAAGCCATACTCAATACAAACAAAATTTAAAAGTTTGCCAATACTGAAAAGGGACATTACTTTCTTACCTACCACAAATATTCAGAAAGCTGCTGTAATCATAACTTTAACATAACATAACCCTTAGATAGACGTTTCAAGATGCATTGAAATGAGGTGCATTGGTGCATTTCATGAGGGTTTTTTATATTTTGGGCAAAATTTATATATTATAGATATATATTGTTATATAATTGTCACAGAATAGCTAATGATTGATTGCCAAAAGATTGAAATCTTAACAATCAGCTGCCCAAAGACAGAAATCTTAACAGCTTAGAAATCAAAGCCAGACTGTGTTTTTTAGTTATATATAATACATATTTTTTAACAAAATAATGGCCTATATTTTTCCTTTTAGCATATATGAATTATATTTACACTAATATTTACCACAGAATAGCTATTGAACTGGTTGCCAAAAGATAGGAATCTTAACAACCAGCTGCCCAAAGACAGAAATCTTAACAGCTTAGAAGTTCATGCTAGACTGTGTTTTTAAGTGAAGCCTTTTAACATTGCCCTCATCATAATTTATAACTGAAACTGTTTACTGATTTGTTTGCAATTACTTTTCCGTACATAAATTATCACAATACTTAAAGAATATACCATTAAAGTGTAGATGAGTTTACTACAGCTTCTCTATGTTTGCATACTAGGAGTAGCTATGTGTATATACAGCTTTAAGTTCATGGAAGAATTTGTTTCCATTTTTACCCTAATTGATTAGCTTCCAAATTAAATGAATGGTGTGTACATTGTACATTGTACATATACATTCTCCTAGGAATATTATAATTTCATTACACTGCATAAATTCTATGCACAACAATAAAAACAAATGGCATGCAACATCAGCTTTTACCATTATCATTAACCTTTCGGATAATAATCTATTATAGCTTAAGAAAGTTTGCTATGTATTTTGTTCAATAATTGCTTTAAGGTGGTTTTAATTGTTTTTAGCCATCAGGGGTTGCAATATTGAGAAAATTCCTAAAAGAGTTGGCCTTAACTTTGCTAAAGATGAAGAGGATTTTTCACCCAGTGAAAGAAGTTCCTGATTCATTATCTGCTCACCTATAGTTTTTAATATCTTACCAAGTGAAAAAACATCACTTGCTTTGCTCAACAATTTACTATTAAGTATAATTTCTGACATACTCCAGGAGCAATGTTTCATATATACTAAAACAACATTGCTTATAAATTAACAATCAGCTGATGAAAGATTGAAAATCATAACAGCTTAGTAGAAGTTCATGATAGGGTGTGTTTTTGCTACATATTTTTGAACAATTTGTGATGTTCCAATAATATTTTATAAAATGTGAAATGTTGTAACCCATCACATGTACATGATCTGTTAAGGACTGTATAAAATTTAAATAATTGACTGAAATCTTAGTATTGCATTTGATCAACCTTGATAAAACACATTAACTGTGGATAAACCTACCATTGCAATGTGTATGACTGCTATGCAAATTAACATGGCAACCTAAAGATTATGCATGTTTGTTCATATTGATATTTTCCTTAATGGACAGACTTGAGGGACAATAAATGCCTAAACATTCGCATAACCCATTAACCTCTTATCACCAGGTAATTTGTTAATAAAATGTTGAGATTACTCCCAACATGGTCATAGGGTATAGTCTATAGGCCGGCTATTGAATTCAACTGCACGATATTTAGTCACTCACCGAAGAGGTCCCTTACGCACAAACAGTATATGCGTTTTCGGTTTTGAACAATAAAAAATCCTTGAAATACGGTTAATATTCGTTATCATTTTACACGTATTAGCGAACATAAGGTGCTGTGGAAATCGCGCCATGCAATCTCATTTCTATTTCGCGCATTTTCTTCATCAGACTTCGTGGGAATCGTAGCATACAAATACTCGCCGGCATGCTCTTTAACTGCGACCAGAGTTTCCAGACTTTACCAAGCCCTTGGCATCCTTCACTCTCTTCCCTTATTTATAAGCGCCAAAAAGATTTCTTACAGCCACAAACGCACGATCTCCTCGTTCAATGTTTATTAAACTCGAAAGCGCGCTTTTTGGTTTTTGCGCCAAATTATTTATAAAATTCCACTTCAATTTTTCAGCATTCAAAATAAAGTTTAAAAATGTCAGCTGATGAATTTATTTTGTGGAAACACGGATTAAGTGAGAAGTGAGATATTCCAAGTGTGAATATTGGTCAGAATACGCGGCATATTCACGGCGTATTCACACTTAGAATACTGAAGAATACGATGCCGTATTCACACTAATATTCCATGTCGGAATACGCTTGCAATATGTGTTTTATTCACACCCGTATTCACATGTGAATACCTTGGAATACGGCGCTTTTCATGCAGTGTAATAAGGACACTTAGGATTAGGCACGGACAGTAGAGGCATTGAGGGATACTGTGGGATAAAGTAGGATAGAGGGAGGACAAGATGGCGGCGTAAAGAATGTAAGCTATTTTTCGAGAGGATAAAAATATAACGTGTAAAAACAAGAATATATTTGGCGACGAGGATGGGATAAAAAAATAAACAAAACCAACTCGTACAACTCGGGCATCTATACACCTCGTAAGAAGATAAATTCATCGGACACGTAAGCGAACATATCGTGCGGTTAATATATATAAATATCAACAACATCAAAATTACAATGTCAATGGCTAGTGGCCATACGCTTCACTTCGACCCAGATCTTCACCCAGATGATACGCTAAAAGCTTTTAATGAATTTATACAATCATTCTACCTACGTTACGAAGCACAATACCCTGATCCACCAAAAGTGTCTATTGACGCTGCAATTGAACGATGGAAATTAGCCAACGAAGACGCCAAACCAACTCTGGAACAATACGATACGCTCAGGAATGAGTGGAGATCAAAAGATCGAGTTGCAAAATTTCTTGGAATGTTTTCTTCGAGACGAATGTACGCGGATTGGCAAGTTGCCGAACCCAATGTAACAAAACGAGCACAGGCGACATGGGAGTCTTTCGTTGCCCAAATGCAAGCATATTATAAGCCAGTCACCACACCTGCCAGACCAGTGCCATACCACTTGAAGGAACGTGTCACGAAAGAAATCGAAAAGATGATTAAACAAGACGTGATCGAGGAACACCCAGCCACAGAACCAGCCCCATGGATTTCCAATGCCGTGATAGCGCCGAAAGCCAACGGAGCAATACGTATGACACTTGACGCTCGTAACGTTAATAAAGCCATACAATCGTCCAACTTACCCATCCCCCGGCAAGAAGACATCAAAGCCAAACTCAGTGGAGCAAATGTGTTCTCAAAGATGGACTTTAAATCGGCTTTCTGGCAACTAGAACTGCACCCGGACTCGAGATATTTGACAGTCTTCCACGCAAATGACAAACTATACCGATATAAACGTCTCACCATGGGAGTAAAGCCTGCACAAGGAGAACTTAACATGGCTCTTCAACCCTTGTTTGCAAACATCCCCCAAGCCCACCTTATCCATGATGACCTAATCGTGGCAACCACAACAAACGCAGAACACAACGAAGCAATCGAAGCCGTCATGACCGCCATATCAAACGCCGGTATTACACTAAACCCGGATGAGTGCACGTTCGGAGTACCAGAAATCGAATTCTGGGGCCTACGTATTGGATCAGATGGCGTACGACCCGATCCGGCCAAAGTTGAAGCTCTTGACCATATGACACCGCCACAATCCAAGGAAGAGTTGACAAGTTTCCTGTGCATGATGCAGTCCAACTCAGATTTCATTCCCAACTTCGCTCAATTAGCGGCTAAACTGAGAGTATTAACGAAGAAAAACGTCAGATTCGAGTGGAACACAGAACACTAAACAGCCTACGAAGTCCTGATTGCGAGATTCAAGCAAAATACGCTGCTCCAATACTTCGAGATGAGTGCACAAACGTTTCTATTTACGGATGCACACCAGACAGGGCTCGGGGCGATGTTAGCGATAGGCGACAGCATTGAGAACGCACGACCAGTGGCGATAGCATCGCGAACGACTAACGCAGCAGAGCGAAGATATCCGCAAATTGACTTGGAGGCACTCGCAATCGATTTTGCTTGAGAAGATTTCGACAGTATCTCGTGGGTTCCCCTACCAAGATCCAGGTGATAACGGATCACCAACCTCTCTGCACGATTTTCAATGGAAAGCGCCAAGGGTCCATTCGAACTGACAGAATTAAGCTCCGCCACCAAGACATACGTTTTACCGTGACATACCAGCGTGGGAAAATCAACCAATCCGACTACCTCTCACGACATGCCAAACCAATCGAGAAGCTGACGTGCCAGGAACGGCAAGAGGCCGACGACCTCAACAACCTACTGTATATGCTTCACACTACCCCGATCATCGACTGCATGGGTATTGGAACTATTGCACAAGCCACTCAGAACGATCCAACCCTCAAAAAGATTGCAACACTCGTCAACCAGGGGTTAACCTGGATCGAAAAAACAGAGTCGAAAGAAATCCAACGTTTCCAGAAAATACTTCCAAAGCTTACGATGACCGCAAATGGTATTATTCTGAAAGGCGAAAAGATCGTACTTCCAAGTAACCTCCAAGATACGGCCATCCGACTGGCACACAGAGGAGCTCACCCTGGCCAAAGTGGACTTGAACGACGACTCAGATATCATTTTTTCTTCCATAATATGAGTAAGAAAATAGAAGAATTCGTCAAATCATGCAACCACTGCAGTATGTTCATTGACAAAAAGACAAAAGAACCCATCAAACCACACCGGGTTCCCGAGAAATGCTGGGATACTGTATCAGTCGACCTATTTGGCCCGATGCCAACATCTAAGCACGTGGTCGTCGTACAAGACTTAGCATCACGATTCCCAGCCGCAAAACTGGTTACATCGACAAAGGCAGATAAAGTGTTACAAGCTCTCAGCGAAATTTATACAACGTATGGCAACCCCGAGGTCCAAATTTCCGATAACGGGCCTCCCTTCAATAGCGCTCAGATGCACGACTTCGCAACGAGTAAGTCCATCAAATTGCAGAAGGCTCCACCACTTCACCCATCCTCCAATCCAGTCGAAACGTTTATGCGTCCTTTGGGAAAGGCCATGAAAATTGCATATCAAACCAGGGCTCCTGAAAAAGAAACATTGGAGACAACACTAAACAACTATAGACACACACCTCACCCAGCAACGGGTATCCCTCCCGCAGCCATGATGTTCCGAGATGGACAGCGCCACGACTTTCCGAGAACTTAACGCAACCGAAGAGGACGTGAGAAGAGCTCGGGAAGCAGACAAACAGAAGAAAACTGACAACGAAGAAAAAATAAACTCTTCTAAATACAGGAAGAAATCAAATTTCAACATTGGTGACAAAGTTCGTGTTAGAAATTACCGAAAATCGAGGAAGTTTGATCCCGTTTTCCTCGGTGAACCATTCACGATCATCGACATCAATGACGAAGGGAACAAACTCATTGTCGAACATCAAGAAAACGGGTTTTCGTTGTGCCGTCACCCAGATGACGTCAAACCATTTATAGAACCAAACTATATCGAAGTCGAAGATGTTCAATGGCCAGTAGGAGATGAAGGAGACGCGGCGGAAGATCTCGGGATTGAAAAACGCGGAGAAACTGCACCAACACTGAGACGTAGCGAGCGGAAAAGCCGGAACCCCAATCCACGATACATTTAGATACGTATCATGAAGCTATTCATGAAACTGATATAAACGTGGGGATGATGAACTGATATACTTTATTATTAGTATTTATATTATGTTGAACAGTTTTAATTAGGATTAATAAGGACACTTAGGATTAGGCACGGACAGTAGAGGCATTGAGGGATACTGTGGGATAAAGTAGGATAGAGGGAGGACAAGATGGCGGCGTAAAGAATGTAAGCTATTTTTCGAGAGGATAAAAATATAACGTGTAAAAACAAGAATATATTTATTGCCACTTACCAATATACAGGGGTTGGGGGTATTATGTGAATATGAAAGAAAACAGCTTGCATTTTGTTCTGTATATGCTTTTTTTTATTGAAGTCACATAATACACGCTGTTACTATACAGTATAGGGCCTTGTGATTCATACACAATTACATATAGTTTCAATTGTGTGAAAGTGATGTTCTTGTAATCTCAATTGTAGATTCTATTGCATATAGAGCCGAATTGGTATGGCAACATATCTTTGAGAATTGAAGTTTATGGCGGTTCTTCAGGTATGTTCTAGCAATTCACTGAAGTACTATTTGTTCGCTAAGAAATGTTGTCTCACGGTAGCGGTACGCACGAACCTGGGATATCACAATGTTGATAGCCTCATAACTATGGACAATAATGTATTAATTCACATGTTCCTTGTTTCTCAATTTTAGATCAAATAAATTATGGCAGCCCAGGAGTCGCTAACAATTATTACCTTTCTCTTATCATTGACTACACCTCCATCCATCGCTGTGCCATACATGGATTTGATGGACTGACATACCAAGCAAGGTAAATATTGCAGGCTACATGGTATATGTTCAGTTTAGTATTATGTCATATTAGGACGACTGTTGGACATTATTTTTTTATTCAGTAATTCCCCTATATGGGAATGTGATAAAATTCGAAGTTAACCCCCAGTAAAGATTTAACAAAATCAATTGAAATAACGCTGTACCTCGACTGGTTTCAATTCTGGAGGCTCCATATATGGCACAATTATCTGCATTGTCGTTTCATTTTTGTTGATGATTGTTTCGATGGTGTTTTGGTGCTGGAAGATAGAATAATTGATACTAATTATTGCACCCCGTACTGAAGACACATAACATCCCAGATTTTAGCAACAAATGCTGGGAATGCGGATAAGTCGACAGGACATGGTCGCTTAAATGAGGCAGCTTCCTGATCTGCACGTGAAAAGTACCAGGACCAATGCATTCAAATTGACTTCGGCAAGAAAGGTGTTTTCGGAGCGATTTTACTCCAAGTCGCCGTAATTATAATTAGTGGGTGAAGACCTACTCTGTATCCTATAGTTCCGACGGGCAAAAATTCGCTCATTACAAAATAAATGGATTAGTCAGGGTTATCTGGATTATTAAGCAAGGCTCCTACAGACTACCCTCTCACCTTATGTGCATCACATCATTTCCATGCGGTCATATATAACTTTTAATGGGTGATTAAGATTAATTGCTTATCAAATTACTCATTTCATTATAGACTCACTAGTGGAAAATGTCCTATCACCAACTGTAACCTCGCTTTACATCCGCATTCATCAAAAGACATGGTACGCAACATATCTTTGAGAATTGAAGTTTATAGCTGTTCTTCAAGTATGTTCTAGCAATTCACTGAAATACTTTTTGTTCAGTAAGGAATGAGAAATGACTGAGAGATCCATCTGACTGAAATATATAGCGGAAATATTTCAATAAGTGGGTTATGTAAGAGTGAGTTTTTGACTAAGAAATAAATTGTTTACACCATGAATTTTTTTTCTATTTTTCAATTCTTACCCCTCCAGCGGGTTTGTCATGATTTTTACTAACTTACGTGCATTGGAATACAAGTAAAAATAAGGCGTGTTTTAATTAGAAGTTATACCTGGACGGGAAATCCAGCATATAATTATGAGGAACAAAGCTATTTTAGCGGTATATACTCAGGGCTATCACAATCAAGTTTAGTGTTATCGCTTGATTTTAATGTTTGCTGCACCGTCGGATTCTCACAATTAAAAGAAAATCAAGCGAAAAGTTTCACACGTACAAAAGTATAGGTATGGAACTGTTCTTTAATTTATCAGAAGAACTAGCGCGTTTTTAACCTACCATATAAGTATGCACCCAATGAGGATGCATATTCCTTCGATGTGATCTTACATGAAGCATTTTCAGTCATGCTATGCAAATTTTATGTTATTATCATATTAATTTCTTTAGAAATTCACTGTTTTCACAGTGAAAGAGCTCCAAAATATTAGCAGAGCATGACTAAATTGTCGTGTTGGCTACGCAACTTAGTATTTTATTTGCTCGCAGAGACTCGTCTGTCGAACGTGACCGTCGGCTAGTCTTCACCATGTACGCAAAAAACGTTCGCAGAATGCGCTCTGCTTTCCTGAAACGAAATCACGGACAAAACTCGGAATTGAGATTAAGTTCAATACACAACTGACACAAACCTTTATAAGAGTTTCGTCATCCGAGGAACACAATAAAACATTTTCTGGCTAGAGAAGAAAAAGTTAAATTATGGTCGTTAAAGATTAGGATATAAAGACAGTAATGATAAATAAATAAATGCGCGCTTACCTTCCAATCCCTGTGGGTGATGCCATTTTCATGTAAGTGCTAAAAATACGAAACAGTATGAATAAAGTTAGTTTAGTTCAGGCTCCTGTAGTAACACTGGATCAATAACAGATGATCCTTAGCTTGGTATCATTAAAAGCGCCAATCTCTTCCTGACATTTTCCATAAACTTTAGTCATCGCCTGTGAATAAAATATTCCAGCTTGTTTCATTCATTCTTCGAAGTTTACACATGGCTAGGCTCTCACTACACGACATCCTCACCTGAAGGCACATTGCTTTTATAGTTGGTTTAGTTGTCAACAGGAATCTGTGGTACAGATCGTTATTAAACAACTCGAGCCTGAAAACAAAATAGAAAAGTCGATCGATTCGTGAATTGTTTCATCCATGATTCTATACTTCTACTACATACTGCAGGAAAATAACATTGTGTGAACTGTGCAGCAATATAGAGAATACGACGCTGAGGTATATTATATATTAGGTATCTGGAATCTTTTTTATGCAGCGGGAAGCAAGACAGTAGTTTGAATATTTTTAAATCCTGATAGATAAATGTCGTGGACTCACACATTTGTTATCGGCGTCTCCCCGTCGTTTTGTTCCAACAAGACTCTCAAATAATAGTCGCCTGATAAAAGAGATACGTTACTGAGTTTGATTGCTGTCGAGGATAGGGGGGAGACGCTTTAAGAAGAACTGTTAAAAAGCTAGAGCAGTATAAGGATTATTACTAACCTATTTTCAGTTGATCAGCTAAACATTCGTACAGGACTTCAAACTAAAGGTGATTCCAAAAAACAACGTAGTTTCCACTCAGATCTTTTTCCATTGCAATTGCGCGCATCTCAGATTCGAGAGCCCCAGAAGTTCCTCTCGCGTCTGTCACATTGAAAACAAAAGAAATTGTTTCAAACTCTTTTACGAGAACAGTTTAGAGAAAGAAGTCAGGACTATTGAATTTGTCTTGTTATACTCATAGCAACAGGAAATCCTCATTACATTTTCATTTCCTATATTTTCAACGGAAACTAACCTTAACTTCGAGACTCACCTTGTAATCCAAATCAGGTTGTACGCTGTCAGATCTTGACTTAATCTGTAAAAAAGATCGGTTTAAATACCATTGCTTTTTCATCTTTTAAACGACTAGAACATTTTCCTATTTTCTTAATATGAACACTTACTTGTAATAAAACAACTGGATTTAAATTCTCACATCTTTCTTGGATTTGAATCCTATTTTTGTCCTCCTATGCGAGAGATATCCTTCAAGTTGATTCCTTGACGTTCCTCTCGCTTTTCCAGAGCTCTAACAGACAAGTATAGCACTTGAAATAACAGGCTTATACGTACATACAAGCATGCATGATGAACTTTTGGAACACGATTGTTGCTTTAAAACGTACTTCTGCAAGATTTACATTGTCACGAATGGATAAATGATCTTCTTTAGTCTCTGGTGGTTGAAGGAAAGATAAAAACTTTCAAACAAAATTGTTTCTTTACAAAAAGGTTTTACACTTCTGAATGAATTACCATTTAATTATTTCGTCAGTGGGGCAGTTGGCATAGTTTAAGGATGAATGATGGAGTTTAGTTACCAAAGCAGTTTATACCATTTAGTCACTATTATGATTGGTTAGTCAGAATCACTGCAATGGGTTAATGTAAATAATGGCCCTCGCAAAAAAATTCTCATTCAAATATATTACATAATTGTTAGAAACAGGAAATCTCGCATTTAAACTTTCTTGTATATTTTAGACATTAAAAACTATAACTACTTTAATACGAACATTATTCTCACAAGCAGTGCCATTGCTGTTATATGATCAGTTGTCCAGAGAGCCACAAGATGTCCACTCAATTGCCTGTATGCTAACAATAAAGATTATAAATTACTTGTGGAGTATGCTTGTTAGTCTCAATTGAACTATTTACAGATGGCTAGTATATAGAGGATTATAAAATCACAAGTTTTAAGATGAATCTAAGAATGTTGCTAAAAAATAACTCAGGTCCTCCGGATGGAATCGAGGCTATGCATCTGCAACAATTTGTTAATTTATCACACTAATTCGCACATGTTCAGTAGCGAACGTGTATCAGTGCTTTGTGTAATCATGGCCATGGGTAAGCGTTTTGGTAGAGCGCCCTCGACAAGCGCTAGATCTTGTATTTTTGCCGCAGTTTCTTCATCAGCTTCCTAAAGTGTAGTTCTAAATAAATATCAACAGATGATTTTAGGCACTTCACACGATGCAGGAATATTATAGAGGTTTTAAAGGGTCTTAATTTCGAGTGGTATTATACACACTTCAAATTCAAGCCAGGAACAGTTGATGGAAAAATGAGTCAACTATATACGTTCTCAGTGATAAGAGCATTGCACCGGCATCGCAAAAGCGATTCCTGCCGGAGGATCTATAGTTGACTCATTTTTCCATTAACTGTTCCTGGCTTGAATTGAAGTGTGTATAATACCTCTCAAAATTAAGACCCTTTAAAACCTCTTAAATATCAAATGAACTAATATGTACATTCATCACAGCTAAAAAAGGGCAGAGCATTATAAATGACGTTCGTCAAAAGCAGAAAATTCTGAATGGATGAATGAATGAATAAAACGTACCTCGATTATCGCCTTCAGAACCATGCCAGCACCTTTCACAATTGTTGTCGACGGATGCTGAAATTGTTAAGGAACGAATTTGAAACCACGATTGGTAAGAACAATTAGCGGGGCAATAGTAAAACATACATAAGCGAAGAAATGGTAAAATTGGTACTATTTATTGCAGTTTTATCGTAAACCTACCTGGAACAATCGAGAAATGCAATGACCCATTTCTGGACAAACAAATAACAGACTTCATAAGTTGCTCCTATGCATGGGTCAAGCTAGTGGACGTGGTAAAATTCACCAAAAAAGGTAAAGAGAGAAAGGCTATTTAATCAACTAACGCGTTCCAAACTATTTTCAATAATTCCAAACTATTTTTTTTCCGCAAAATTGATGAAAAAAAACAAAAAATTCAAAGATTTTAATTTATGAAATCAAATTGGCGTTTTTTGCAGACAGTTTTTAGGGACTCTGCCAAAAACAACGTATTAAACTAAACGAGACATCATTCTATCAACTGCGACCTGAGATAAATAAGGTATCTGAATTTCAGACACCTAAAACAAATCTGAGTTTGCCAAAATCTTATATATTACCGACAAATGATAAATGGGGAAGCTGAATTTCAGACATCTAAAACGGCTCTAATCTGCCAAGATCGTGTATATTAACCGACCTGAGATAAATAGGGTGTCTGAATTTCAGACACCTAAAACGGTTTGAGTCTGCCAAAATTCAAAATATTTTAATGTTAACCGACAAGCGATAAATTTGGAAGCTGAATTTCAGACACCTAAAACGGTTTGAGTCTGCTAAAATCGCATATTTTAACCGACCTGAGATAAACAAGGTATTTGAATTTCAGACACCTAAAACGGTTTGAGTCTGCCAAAATTCAAAATATTTTAATGTTAACCGACAAGCGATAAATTTGGAAGCTGAATTTCAGACACCTAAAACGGTTTGAGTCTGCTAAAATCGCATATTTTAACCGACCTGAGATAAACAAGGTATCTGAATTTCAGACACCTAAAACGGTTTGAGTCTGCCAAAATCTTATATATTAACCAACCTGAGATAAATTAAGGTATCTGAATTTCAGACACCTAAACGGTTTGAGTCTGCCAAAATCGTATATTTTAACCGACCTGAGATGAATAAGGTATCTGAATTTCAGACACCTAAACGGTTTGAGTCTGCCAAAATCGTATATTTTAACCGACCTGAGATGAATAAGGTATCTGAATTTCAGACACCTAAAATGGTTTCAGCCTGCCAAAAATTCAAAATCTTATGTTAACCGACAAGCGATAAACTGAGAAGCTAAATTTCAGACGCCATAAACGGCGTGAGTTTTCACAAATCTGATATAAACAATTAAATGAACCGAGATTAAAGGCTGAATTTCAGTTTGTACTGTCACCGATCGTGTACTGAAATAAAAAGCACTTTTTCAGAGTGTAGCCCAATTTCAGAAAAATATTGGTTTGACTGTTTGTTTAAATCATATGTGCATAATTCATAAATCAAACACATCTAAGCAGAGATGAGATTTTAGAGCCAAATTTTAGTCCGCGATCAACGTTTTATGGGTTTTCAACAGCGGACACCTAAAACGGCTTGATTCTGTCAAAATCTTATTTATCAACCGACAATGCATGCAGCGAAACCGACCAGTGAAAAATTGGGCAGCTGAATTCCAGAACCTAAAGCGACTTGACTGAGTCTGCCAAAATTTAGTTTACCTGCAGACCTTCACATCACAACCAAAATACTAAAGTCAAATGCAAAGAATCATGTATATAGAATATATAATTAGTTTTTCAAATCACAAAATTTTGCGCAATACGTTTCTTGCTTCTTCTTCATTTGGTGTTAAGCATAAAACATTCCTGCCTTCCTTCATGGCTGCAGCAGCTCCAGCAACTGAAACAGTCATAAAAAAGATCAATTTAGTTGGAATGTTATACTGCATAACATTTAATTATGTTTTTTACGGGAAACTACTTTAAAATATACTGCGCGAATAGGTGAATAAACTGAAGGAAGAAAGCTAGTGATCCAATGATAGTGTAAAGTTGCATAGTGGGACACAGCTAATCAACCTTATCATTTTAGCTCCCATATTGAAAGGTTTCAATTTTGCATTAACAAGAAAGTTTCTCGAAATTTTTGTCAACTTGACGAAAAGCCTAATTAACATTTAAATAAGACAAAAGAAATTGTCTAAATAAAGTTCAAAGCGCTGAGATAGTTGAATAAACCACTACGAACAGAAATGACCTTCACCACTGACTAGATGATTGACTATGTCCTTTGAATCCGCCACCCATCAGAACAGTGTAAAGTGAAACTTCACAGTAAAAGCGGTTAAGTTAAATTATTTTTTTGTATCAACGATTAACAACACGATTGCACCTGTTGTTTCCAGATAATTCATTGTAACTAGTCGGCAGCAACAATGTGAACAGTGCATAAAAAAATTATTAGTATTTCATCAGTACTGGTATAATTGCATACCTTGTGGCGTATTCACGTCAAGAATCCAATCGCCTGGTCTACTGAACATTTCAACTACAGAATGCCACACCTCCAACTCCTTGTGCTCTTGACTTACAATAATAAAATTCTCAGTGCAGGCAGTGAAATTAAAATGATCTTGCAGCAGCCGTTGCCCAGGCGCCGCATGGTAGAGGAGAAACCCCTCTACAGCCCGTACCATACCAAGGCTAGGACCTGTAAAATGCAGGAACAATGCGTCAGTTAATTTTGTTGTATGCATTCCAAAATACGGTTACAGTTTACAGTAGGTATGCTTTTATGCGTGTAAATTTGACGTATTTTCGAGTGTACGTGAATTTGAACTTCTAATTTTACAGTTGAATGGCAGAAATAACAAACGCAGACAAGTTTAACTAAATTTTGTTACAAAAAAAAAATATAAAAACATTGCATCGCAAGAACCTCTAGAAAATACCAAGATGCTATTTTAACAAAATAATCTATGGTGAGCAGAAACCCAAAAGGTGGATTAAACAAAGTGATTAAGGACCTTACGATTGACAATTACACCAGACATGCGGCTAGCTGCAATCGACAAACTATTGAAGATAGTATTTTGGGGCCAATTATTAGATGATAGAGCTTCGGGCAGTTTGCGAATTAAAATTGAGGCATAAATTCTCTACGACAGACACGGTTATCCCTTTGCCGTAAACGTGAACATTAAAATCTTACTATTTTAAACATGAATACATTGCCCGTTAATATGCTAATATATACCTGATGGTTTAACTCCTTTAACACATGCGAAACCAAGTTCGCAGATTCCACGGTGTTCCTCGATCCATTTTTTTATTTCTATTAATTGATGGATATCCCCCATTATTGCTACGTTGAAAATGTGGCACACACCAAAATTTAAACGGTCCACTAGGTCCAGCAAACTGCAGCAAATGTTGTCACATCATTTTCATAAAAAAATCATTGTGAAAAAGAAAGTATTGTTCAGCATACACCTTTTTCACAATTATCACAGTTGTACATATACAGTACTATTGGTGCATTAGGTCAATGTTACATCACTATACTGTACCTGATGTGGTGAAAGCTTACATAAGGCTAATGAAAATCCTTTTTCTTGCCCTTATGACCCCTTGCTGCAGTCCCAGTTGGTCAACACACATGTGGACAACGCCCCTTGTTCCCTGGTCCATCAGAAATACATTGGTTGATACAATTAGTAGCTGGTCTGATTCCTCGATGGTCAGACTCTTTTGCAGATATTCCAAGTATTGTCTGAAAATAAGGTTGGTTTCATCTTTTTCCTAGTAAATAGAAACACAGCTCTACTGAATGTGCGAAACACAGGAAAATGTTTGCAGACTAAAATGGTCATCGAATAGGTAGCAGAATTGAAAATTGAAATCTCCCAAGGAACATGTAGCAGGGCTGATTTAATGTTTATTTTCAAGCTACTAGTAGTTTGAAATGTTTCTAGTAGTTTGAATTATTAATTTAGAAGTCAGTTCAAATACTCAACCTCAGCATAGAGAGAAGAGCGGATATTTTCCATTGTACAAACCTGGATCAAAATATCGAACTGCCTGATATAATACATATACTGTATACTTACTGTAAATTTCCTTAACTGGTCAACGCTGAATTTCTCTCCCAATTTTGCACTAAGGAATTCCAATTTACATCCAAGAAATGAAGAAATCACTTTTTGGACAGGCTTCAGTACTTTGCACTCCTTGCACACTAATTTCAGTTCATCCAGACTGTTACTTTGGTCAGCAACCTAAAAAAAACAACAGATTTAGAATGATGATTGGATTTAATTTAAAGGGCACAATTATATTTTAATAAACTAAGTGGTTAATTAGTAAATAAAATTTTTAACGGATCACAGAGAACGCCTTCCAATGAAATTTGTCATTTTCCAAACTTTAAAATTCCGCCAAAATTAGCCAAATTTTGCTAAATTCTGCAGAATTTTGATTTTTTTCCGCAAAAATATCTTTAAATTGCTAAATTCCACGCTTGGCATTTTTGCACGCTAAATTGAACAATTAGAATGTGCCGGGTTTTATTGGCAGCGCGCGACATTTTCTGAAGAGTGGTAATGAATTTGTCGAGCGGAGAATTCCTTATATTCGGCTATGTTTTTCCGGAGCGCTTTCTTCGTGAGGTGTTTGGGGGTATAATAGTGTTATAGAGGGTAACAAGAGGTTTATTTTGATATCAATATTGCTATGGTAACGGCAAATGTTTTGCTTCAAGCGAGCTTCTTGTCAGAGGCATTTGGCGCAAATGGCGTCGTGCGGAAATTAAGTTTCAACAACCGCATATTCGGCTTGTATAGCATTCTTTGTGTGAGTTTAGTTTTGTACGTTTTTGGTATATTTTACACGCCAAGGAACCTATCTAAAATCGTATGTTTTTTTTTGTGACAAAAATGAGCTAGGAAACTCAGAATGGATTTTAGAAAGGCATCTCATTCCCGTAGATTCAATGTTGGGGAACATATGCGCAACAAAAGACTTGCATGGCAATCTGTGGAGACTAAGCAAAAAAAAAGCAAAATGCGTATCCCAGAAGCTGAAACGTATAGATGATAAGATAAGAAACGTTTATGCGTTTGTTTTTATATATTTAACTTGTATATTTCGTGTTTGACTTGCCATCTTTCTTGTATATGATATGGACTTGCGGCTATAAACCTGATCGACTTAAATTTCCATACCGATTTTCTATATTTCTGGGCCATTTTGCCTTTTTAACTTAAGCCTATTGTATGTTAATACAATTGATAAATTTGGTATATGCATATATTTTTCCTAGTTTGCTAAAATTTGTTGAAAACTTGACATTACTCCACATTGTGAGATGAACTCTCAAAAACCTAAATTTATGATCTTTAACTCACTGAGCTTCAATGCTACTAATATATGTTTTTTATTACCTGCTTAACCCAGATGATTTTAGTTGTCAGTTAGGAAGCCCTGCAGTGTAATGGTTCGCTAAAAATTAGTCAATATTTATTGTATATTTCATATTTGTCAATATTTAACTCATTAGGCTTTAATGCAGTAAATGCACTCACATGCAGTGTATACCCGGCTTATCTAATGCCAGAATGATTGTACTTGTTCTACTGAGAAAGCTCTTTTTCAGCTTAGTGGTTAACTAAAAAATCTTACTAGTGCAACATCTAAGTGCAACATACTAAACAAATCCCACATGATTATATTTCTCAGTAAGGTTACTCTGTAGCTACAATATAGGAGTTAATTTATAAATAACAGAATCGAACATTTCTGAAAGATTACCCTTACGAAAAAATCCTATAGGAATTCCTATAGGAAATTCCTACAGGATATTCTATAGGATTTTCGGACGTTTCCAATAGGAATTGTAACACGAATTTTGATAGGATTTCCTAAAGGAATTCTTATAGAATCCTAAAGGAATTCCTGTAGAATCCGAAAGGAATTCCTATAGAATCTAAAAGGAATTCCTATAGGATCCTAAAGGAATTCCGATTAAATGCTAAAGGTATTTATACGGAATCCTAAACGAATTCCTATTAAATGCTAAAGGAATTTCTACGGAATCCTAAACGAATTCCTATTAAATGCTAAAGGAATTTCTACGGAATCCTAAACGAATTCCTATTAAATGCTAAAGGAATTTCTACGGAATCGTAAAGAAGTTCCTATAGAACCCAAAACGAATTACTATTGAATTCTAAAGTATATCCTACAGGAATTCCTGTGGAATCCTATGTTAATTACTATAGAATCCTAAAGAAATATTTTGCAAATGTCTGGAGTTTACCAATGGCACAAATATAAATAATAATGAGGATACCTTCTTCTAATGTTAACAATAATTTAATGTTGGGCCTGTCCTTTTTTCTACAATACTGACATGGGTGTACATTACATATATAAGCCTAATAAGGCCTCGTTTACACTATACTGGAATGTTATAGGAGTGGGTTACATCTAGATATTGATGGACTGTCAGGATTTTTAATGTCAAAGACTGAAAAAATTATGGCAAATCTGTCAAGCTTACATATGCATTTGCTACTATAGTCATTAATTGCTTCTTTAACGGCAAACGAAAATCTCGTGATGCGAGGCGAATCCGGTATAGTGTAAATAGGGGCTAATTTAAATCAACAGATAATTTAAAATAAAGCAATAGGATTTAAATAAATACTGGTACATATAATATATTACCTATATATGGGTCGTATAAATAAACGTTTCATATATGATACTTAATCATTTTTTTGTTCAACAATTTTTTGCTGTTTGCAGCACTTGATAATATTGTTTATCTTCGTTGTCATCAGGTTCCTCACTTCTTTTTGAGTGACCCCAAATTTCTGTTCCACATAACCTAATAAATTAAAACAAATAACACATTCCAATTAATTTCAACTTGTGCAACTGTTTCATAGTAGTTGAAGTTTCATAAAGTTGGAAAATCACATCACATCACAAAAATAGTTTAACATTTGATAAAATTTTGTTCATAAAATATAGTAAAAATGAACAATGATTAAAATACTTATGTACATACTGCAAAGACTATCCACTTTCTCAGCATCAAGTTGGGGCTTTGCTTCTCTTTCTTTATGTGCATTGCACTTCCGGCCAGTCACAGAATGTGTGCACAGCACCTCCCTTGACCAAATTATTGGAAGTGCTGAATAAACAAAATCTTTGGCAGATAGTTTACTTGATAAGACTCTCTTTTGCCCTTTGCTTATTTCTACACCCGGACAAAGCAGGATCTAAATGAAAGCAATAAATGATAAATATAATTTCACTAACAGTGGTGCCATTACAAATGCTATTACCTCCAACCATATTGTCTGGTATAAAAATTGGTCTATTGTTGTCACATAATTATATTTGAAGAAATACCAGAAACATTCTACTGCTAAATTGACTGAACACTCAGTAAATTATTATGCGTATAAATGTGGACATGACTTACACTGTCAGATTCACTGTCTGAACTGGAAGCTTTGTTAGCAATGGTAACAGTTGGTGAAGATGGACGTTTTGAAACATCTTTAATTGTGTCAGGGGCACCAATCCCCTGCTGTTTGCATTTGAATCCAACTGAAGCTAACTGATCCAATATTCCCACTGAATGCTTTAGTTGGGTAACAACATCTTGTAAATTTTGCATATCTATAATATAAATCAATCTTAATTAAGTAGAGAAAATTGAAGCTAAAGTTTTAAACATATAAAAAGAACCATCATTATAGTTAGGCTACTTATTAAGTTTTTAAAGCTTGTTATAAAGACTTCAGCTGAAACATTTTGGTATAATATATTTAATATTATCTTTATAAAATTTCAGTAAATAATAATCCTGTTTCAACACATTCTGACTTAGATAATCAAATTAATATTAATTTTGAAAAACTGACATATGATATCATTGTACCCTTCATATCAGCAATTTGTCTTTTCAATGACTCGATTTCCCTGTCTTTCGCATCAATTACTCTTCTCATGTTATCTACCTCTGACCCAGATTCATCATCAGAAGATTGTGGAGAATTGCCCTTTATGAAATTAATAAAAATAATTATTCCATCAGCATTTCAAACCTATACCCAGAATCAACTAAACTGGTGCATTCAGGCTTACAGGTATTTAACCTGAGCTCTTAAATTAGTCCTCTTAAGTAGTTGTCATAAAAAGCAAGGTGGAAATAAAATTGTAATCTTTTTAAAAGGAATAGGAATATTTTATTTATTTATATAATGGTGCTAACCCATAAAGTAGCAAAACTCTTCACTTGATCAGTAAATGATCTGGTGTTAATTATTGTCAAATGCTCATAAATATATACATATACAACATATAACATGTATCGGTACCTCAAAAAAAACATTAGGCTGCTTTCCCCTCACTTTTTCCTTCAACATGGCAATATGTTCATGTGACATAATGGAATTTGTCACCTTCTTTTTGGCAGTTTTTTGCTTCTTTGCAGGCTATATTACAACATGAAAATACATGTTCATGTAAGACACACCCTCAATCTACAGTACAAGGCTATATGTTTTAACACAGAATAAGGGCATTAAATATACAAGATCAGATAAAATATTTAAAGTGGGTAAAATTGAATAGCTCTACCAAAACTCAAAGTTTGCTTTTTAATTGATTCAAATATTTGTCTTTTATTTATCAAAAACTCACAAAAAGAAATTATTCCATTAATTTACAGGACATTTCAACTGAAATAATGAACAGTAAAATTCTCTACTGATATAGACAGACTACAGAGTAAACTTGCTATATACACTTGGCACATCAATGCTCAAATCTGCCTATTAATAGGTTAAAAACAGTAGTTCCTTAACTAATAGGACTCTTCCACTGGCAAGGATGCAAAATTGTTCAGCACCAACTTGATAGTCAAATATAGCATTTTTCTTATATATAGTCAATAAGTTATCGTCAGACAAGTTCGCGAAGTATATTTAAATAAAATAACAAGAAACTTACTGCTTCTAATGGTTGTTTATCATCTCCATAATCTAAGCGATCACTCCTCTTGCCATTTCTTTGCCCCCTTCCTCTTGAAGGTGTCTGTGTTGTGCCAGTGCTTAGATAATTTTTCATCACCTCACAAAGGCAATTATAATCATCTGTTGGATGGAACAAGTATGTGAGGATCATGCTACAATAATTTTGTTTTGGCTGAAAAAAAACTTATGCAACCTTGAACGTTTACAAGTGTAATAAAAGCTGGAAGTGTGGTGGCAATTGTATTGTTATAAAAAATATAATTTTTTTAGGGATGCAGTATAATAGAGCTACATTCAGATATCCTAATTGAGAAATTTGGATAAAATAAATTTATTAAACTTTATAAAACAGATCATATACACTGCACCTTCTAGATCGGTAGAAAACAAAGTTTCTAAACATGGCAAATTTATGATCATTATGCAAGCTTCTATATATAACACATCCTGTGCGTGGAATGCGCGCCAAATTTAAATAAATAAACCGGTAGTAAAACGACAGGCTGACGCCATTGCCATGACCAGCTATATAGAATAACATAATATACAGCTGTAGTTGAATTATTTTCCGTCTTATCAAACAAATAATTGTATATATCTATAGATTTCATCGCGTTAATATTAACATAAGAATACATAACATACTTTCAATAATCTTTCAAAGACTATAACAGAATGTGTAAAGTCAAGCTTGCCAGGGAATTAAAGCTTACCCTACATAGCTACATAAAGTCAAACTTACCATGGAATTTTAGTACTCGAGCAGCGTAGGTTTTAGTTGCGCATCCTAAATCCAGCGGGAACTTTCCATGCTTGTTAGCCCATTTTGAATAGTCCTTCGGCTGTACTGGCCAACGTACTAGGATTTCCTTCTTCATGACCCAATCGTTGTTGTTAAAGGAAGACTCATCCTCGCTTATCATCCAATGACTTTCCCCCACATCACAGCTACTGTCTTCACAAAACTCGTACATAGCAAATTTCATCGTCATTTGGCAAAAATATTGCTTTAAAGTTGAACTTTTTTATCGTAAATATAAAGGCAATCGAAAGACGCTGAAGTATTGAATGTCAAGTGTCAACGCAAATTACGCATGTGGGCCATGTGGCATGCATGGAGTGCTGGGAAATGTAAATGAGGTCATACTTGAAGACATTGATTGGTCACAATCGACGCGTTGCCATGGGAATATCCAATCAGAAATACTGATCTGATTAGTTAATGACCACACTGCCACAATAACACAACGAAAAATTCCACAACAATACTGCTACTGCTCTGAAAGATATTTTATGTTTGTATGGCGGAAACCTTAATTATTTCTTAAAAGTCTTTAAAATGCCTCATAGGGGCCCATACAAACAATACGAAGTAGATTCAAGTATTGCAGTTCCAAAATCTACTTTACATGACAGGCGTAAACGGCGTTTAGTAGAGGTTAATATTGATCATCATGTCGAAACTCATCCTTATCCTTTGGCTTTGAATAATGAACAAGTATATTTCGATGATTACGATTTGCAGGTACAAGCTTCGCTGATATATATTTAGCGTTTATGTAAGAATGTTCTTGTTCAAGTTTACTTTGTGAACAGGGTTAATAAAAGTCTAATAATTTAAACCCTTTATAATTTTTACAGGATAACCATGCTCCTGACCCTGAATTAAATGAGACAGAGGCCCATGAACCCCAGGGGGAGGACCTTGATAATATATTTGATGAGGCAGAAACTGGAACAAATATGCAGGTACATATATGTATGGCTGTTCTAATTTTACACTTGTCAAAACATCACTTCACCTCTATTAGTCAAAATGTTTTATTGATATTTTTAAGGCAAGTCAAATTTATGTGTGAATATACTTTGACTGAGTTTTAAACCTGGGTGACATATAGCTGGCTATATATTTCAGTGTACCTTGTGGTGTACTCTGGTGTATCCACTCCTGAAGTCAAGCTTAAAATTTAAACAGTTTGTTCTTGGATTTTTTGACCTGGTCTTGAAATGAGCCTGGGGCTGAGCATTTTCACATGGGGATGTTTCGACTCCAGTGAACTCAAATAAGACTGGAAACCCTCACATACCTACAAGCATGTTCTGCCATCTTGAGTCAGAGAGTGTGCATTCCAGTCTTATTTGAGTTCATTTTTTTACTCTGGCTTGTTTTGACATGGCTTGAGATGTATTGACCTGGGGATGTTTTATACACATTGAAATGTTGATATAAGTCTTTTTTATGTCCCTAAATGATATTGTCACACAGTTTAGTTACAAGCTAGTGATGATCAGCATTTTTGAATTGATACCATACCACTTCGATACTTGTATCAATACCAAACTTTGATACCGTGGGGATTTATTATGAGTAGTATAATTAGGAGCTGATCAGTTCTTGCCTATTTAGGCTGCTAGTCTATTAATCTCTCGGTTTAAGCGTTTGGTGAGACAACTTTAATTGAAATAGCCTTTGTTTATCTTTTTCCTTATTTAGCAAGAAGGCTTACTGAATGAAAACCCTCTTTATCAAGGATCTAATGTTACTACAGCACAATGTCTCCTTCTCGTAATGTCGTATGTAATCAGACATCATCTTACACATGAGGCACTACAAGATCTGTTGGTTCTGTTGAATGTTCTTTTACCAGATTCTATACCAGCAACGAAATATAAGTTCTTCAAAGCATTTAATTGTGGTTTATTTCAGGTAAAATATCTACATGTATATATATATGGTTCTGACGCATGTCTATATGGATTACTGTATTTCAGTCTGATATAAAATTTTGTAGTAACAGTGAATCTCAATGAGATCTTTGCCCCATGTATATACCTCCAATGAGATCTTTGCCCCATGTATACCTAAAGCCGGTTTTTCAAGGAGCTCTGGGTTAGCTTGTCCCCAGGTTAACTTAGAAAATTAAAAGTAAACTTTCTGACAGCCTGTTTATAAATAGCAGTTTACTTCTCTGAAGTTTTGTTTAAAAAATAAACAGAGGTGTTAAAATACGCAAGCTAAAACAGAAGCCCATATTTTAACTGAGGGTTAGTCCTAATCCACCTTTGAAGAACCTGGGCCTGATTATACGCTTTATTCAAAATAAAATATCACTGGAGTTAAACATAAAAGTGAAATAATATATAGTAGGGCACATAAATAGTACTGGTTCAGTTAAACTAATTGTTGCCGATAACTGGACTAACATAGCAGTAGATACTAATACTCTAGTTTAACCTACATGGGTTTTTGGGGACCTGAGGCGGTCTTTGGTTAATTATTCAACATTTTGCTTCACAATCACTACATCAGGATTCATTTAAGATGGCCTTTTCCCAAAATACCACTGATCAAATTGCTTTTCACTTTTCAGATTCACTTCTATTGTCCAATGTGTTTGTTTTACCTTGGTGAAAGCAGAGTGGAAAGAAATTGTGAATCTTGTGGGGAACTATTTAATGTGATGAGTGTACCAAGAACGGCAACTATTTCTTATATCTACCCATGAAACGTCAGATTGAAGACTTGCTTGGTGAGGAAAAATTAAGACAACATTTAATGAACCGTCTCACTAGGAACAAAAATTCCACGGGTGTCATCTCTGACATAACATCTGCAGAACTATATGGCAAGTTAGCAGAGAATCATAACTTTTCTGGCAGTCATGATTTATCACTAACGTGGAACACAGACGGACTGTCTTTGAATCGTCTAATTATGCAATTTGGCCAGTGCAAAGTGCAATTAACGAGCTGCCTCCTCACTTACGAGAGAAGCACATCCTTCTGCATGGCCTCTGGTTTGGAACAACAAAACCAGCTATGAACACTTTTCTTAAGCATTTATTGAAGAATGCAAATCCCTTGAGACAGTTGGTCTTAAGTTTGAAATGATGGACAGCAAGTAAAGGTTTTTGCGCACATTCTCAGTGCCGATTCACAGCAAGAGCCATTGTCAAAACTGTAAACAGTTCAATGGTAAACATGGATGTGACTGGTGTGAGTTTCCGGTGAAACTATTGATAATGGTGGTCCGCCAACCAGATATTATCCTTACAGAGGCCCTCCAAAGATGCGAACAGCTGAAAAGCAAGTTGAATATGGTCTTCGAGCAATCCAAAAGGCGAGGATGTCAAGGGAGTCAAAGGACCATCCGTTGTTGGAATTCTACCTTCTTTCGACCAAGTTCGGGGTAAAGTATACTTAATTATTTCCCAAAAGTTCTTCCAGGGGTCTGTGCGTCTAGTAAGCGTCAGTTACGCCATAGCTAAATGGTAAATTAAAAATATACTGTACATGTTTTTCTTCTTTTGGTAGATTGATTTTGATTGCGTTCTTTTGTTGCCCAATAGTCTTGCCCAATTCAGGGACCCCTTGCCAAGTAGGGTATTGCCCGGGTGCCTCGATAAAGCATGCATTGAGCATTATGTTTTGTGGACTAGCACAGAACAAACTTTGTTAACTCTTTAAAAATATATGTATTGCAGGGGTTGCTGTTGACTTCATGCATTGTGTCTGTTTGGGTGTCACGCGTCAGTTTGTAAACATGTGATGGATAGTCGACAGCATGAGAAAAGTTTCTACATTGGTAGAAGTGAAAGAAGAGATCAAATGCCCGACTATATTCTATTGAAGTTCCTGGGGAAATGAGCCGTGCACCGAGGTCGATTAGTGATAGAAATCACTGGAAAGCATCAGAGTGGAGAGGCTTCATTTTCTACAGTCCTCGTTATACTCCGTGGCATACTTCCATCAACACATCTAAAGCATTTCTTCTTGTTGTTTTTACGGCGTGTACTCTCTCCTTGGTGATTCCATCACGGAAAATGATATCAATTCTGCAGAAGGTTGTTTAACAAAGTTTGTTATTGAAGTTGAAGAAATTGTATGGCTTGAATATTGTACATTCAACGTGCATCAGTTGATCCATCTTGCTCAGTCAGTTCGAGATTGTGGCCCTCTTTGGTCTTCTGCAGCGTTTATTTTTGAGTCGAACAATCACACATTGCAAAAAATGTTTCACGGTACGCAACATATTCCGAGACAAATTGTAGAGACATACGTGATTACCAAAAGGATTCCTGTACTTGCTAAGCAATACATCAACGATGAAAGTTGCCCCGCTGTTTACCAACTGTTTCAGAAGTTGAGAGATGTTAAGTCTTTTGACAACGATGTGTCCCTAGCAGAAGGTGTTCGAGGTGTTGGCAAAGGAAGAGCTATCCAGCTCTCTGCATCACAAGTGCTCGCTGTGCAAAATTTGATTGGTGTTGAAGTGAAAAAGCGCTGTGGCTTGATGTATTCCAGATTTGTTGCAGATAAGAAATTGTACTCAAGTATACATTATGTTCGAGCAAAGAGACATGTGAACAGAAATGTAGCATTTGAAACATGGCCAGTATAGATACGGTATATTGTAGGTCTTCTAATAATTAAACCAGAGTGTTTATGCACTATGGAAGAGTTGCAATACTGCAAATGCAGTACTTATAATGTTGTGTTGGTTCAACCAAAGATTGAGCATGGTAGAGCGCTGTACAGAGACCCCGATTTTAATGTGGAAAGCTTTTTCCTGAGAGAAGTAGAGCCTGCTGCTGTACAAATAGCAATTTATCCCAATCAAATTAGGAAGAAGTGTATTTTGATGAAATTGGAAGGGAAAAAATACTTTTTTTCCACTTCCTTATGACATCAATGACAATTGATATAGATAGGATGTAAATATATGTAAATAGAGATATTGTAGTGTACGTAATGTAATTTTTAGCGACACGTTTTCCATTTTATGTATGTTATATATGTACAACACTTTTGAAGAATGGTAGATAATTAAAATTTCCAAACCTGGGTTTGTTTTTTGTTGTTTACCACTATTCTACCTATTTTAATTACCTTTGATAAGTAAGTATTACAAGATCGTCAAGCACTATATAGGCAGATAAAATTGTCAAAAAGATGGACGGGACATGTTTTGAAACCTGATGGGTTGATTTTAATCCACTTAATAAATTTCCTGCATCACATTTTTAACAGACATTAGCTGTACTAGTAACTTGTTTTATAATATCTCTGAAGTAATAACAAAATCGGGGATTTATAAATAAGAAAAATGGGTGACACTATTTACCCTGAAAAACCGGAAATTCCAATCAAAAAACATGCTGTGAGACTACTATTATGAGTAATTTCGAACAGAAATTTCGGAAAACAAGGGTGGATTAAAATCGAATTACTATGAAATATGCACAGGAATTATAACAGGAATATTAGTGTCCATAGGAATTTTTAGGAATATGAATATCCTATAGGAATTTTAATAGGAAAATGAATATCCTATAGGAATTCTCATAGGAATATGTTCCTATAGGAATTCTAATAGGAAAATGATATCCTATAGGAATTCTAATAGGAATATATAATATCCTATAGGAATTCACTCATAGGATATGTATATCCTATAGGAATTCTAATAGGAAAATGAATATCCTATAGGATCTAATAGGAATATAAATATATCCTATAGAAATTTCCTATAAAAATTGATGATTTCCTATACGAATTCTTATAGGATCCTATAGGAATTTTTCGTAAGGGTAGATAAGGGCCTTTAGTGGGTTTACAAATTTGGATTTTAAAAAGGATTTGTGGCAACTTTTTAGCATATGAATATCTCGGCATGTCTTTGTCAACACCTAATCTACATAACAATGTCTCACAAATATATTAATATGCTTATAGCTTGTGATTGTAAAATCAAAATATGCAAGGATAGCTCAAATAGTGTTATAATTAATGTCTTTTACATGTGAATTAATAATTGATGATTGATTGCAGAATTGATATAAGTTTTAATGACTGGTAGTAATGTTTATCATGATTCATTCTATTTATGGCATGTGTCATACTCCAAATTGATGCATAAAACAAATACCCTGTCATGATTGTGATATTGTTTCTTATTAATGTCCAATATATTTTATTAATATATTTGACTATGTAAACATACACCATTGTGTATATGAAGAATTTTACTATAAAGTAGAAATATTTAGCACTGTTATTAGTTTTGATTATTGTTCTGATTAGTTGCAATGTCTCAAATGTATTTACAATATAACAACACTATATAAGTGGGCTTTAACCAACAATAATGTACAAATGTAAAATATACAGTAACATACTAACTGTGTATGTAAGCACACTGGAATATGCTAATACATCTTAATAACAACTCTGAACAATGTCGGCCGCACAACATTGAATAATCCTGTTCATAGAATATTGCATCAACCTGATCGTTTTTAAAGCGTGCCACTGGTTACTATAATAGTTTGACAAAGTATTGAGATCAGTACTATTAGTTTTGAATAGTGTTCTGGTTACTTGCAATGTCTTAACCTAAATGTATTTACAATATAACAACGAATATGAACAGTAACACTTTACTTAACTGTGTATGTTAAACACACAGGAATATGCTATGCATATGTTGCACACATCTTGATTATTAGTGTATTAGTTTTGTAATTTTTGCATGAAGTATGTATGTTTGATTTCTATTTTTAAAATAGATATATTAAGACGAAACTTGTGTTGTAAACCCATACTCATTTGTATAAACTCTTTCAAAGCTCCATGCACTCCACTAGTATTCAAGTATCCACTAGTATCCAAGGGTTAAAAATCTTAGTGCATTCTAGTTATATTTTTCTGAAAAAGTGCTGATGATTTTTCTTTTCAATGTAGAATCTTAGAGGACCATTGCAGCCTAATGATAGACAATGTCATGCAGTACCATTTAGTTGTTCATGCATGAAAATCAAAAAGAGGACTATCAATACATTTTAAATTTAATTATTGTTTATTTATCTTAAAATGGTGGCAGAAGAAAATTGTTTTTTTCATCAAATTGTTGGCGGTGGCTGTGGCAAAAAAAAAAAATTGTGTTTGGTTCTTGAAATTATTTGAGTTGTTTGATTTACTATCTGGCAGCATTTTGATTTTCTGACTGGAAAAGCAACTGGACAAACTAGTCATTAGAGGGAAGTTCACATTCACTATATTGTCTGTGTTTGCCTTCAAAATATTAGTACGTAAATCTATGATTTTGGAGGCAATATCCAGCTATATAAGGATTATTACCTTCTTATAGTTAAAAAGGAATATAGAGCTTTGAGATGGTTCTTAACAGTTGTGAAAACTTGAAACAGTTGTGAAAAAATTACTTGGCAGATTCTCCATGCATGCAAGTGCATAGCTTGAACTTGCTTAACACATGCCCCGTGACAGCCTCCGCATTACTACACTCACGCTCAACTGCCAAACTCTCAATTGCCTCCTGAACTTTTGTCAAAGAGTTTGACGGCTGTTCAACGGCGTTTTCGTTGACTTAAAACTTCTTCCAACGAAAATCTCACATTTGAAACAGCCGCCATGTTTACTTAATCAAATATTCTTGGGCGGTACACCACTGACCCAAATGAACGTGGCGCAAACATTTTGAGGGTAT